TTTTCACCCTCGAACCTTTTTTTTTCACCCTCTACCCTTTCTGTTTTGACCCTCGACCCTTTCTTTTTCACCCTCCTTCCTTTGCTTGGTATGTTGGTTGGTTGGCTGCAAACCAAATATCGACAGCCTTTGGGGAAAACACAGGGTGGTGTGGCTTTGGTTGCTTGGTTTGTTGGTTGCTTGGTGGGCTGCCAACGCAAAGCAAGTATCGACAGCATTTGGGGAAACTAGAGTTTGGTTGCTACCCTTTCTTTTTTACCCCACTTCCTTTGGTTGATGTGTTGGTTGGTTCGCCCTGCTTGGCTTGTTGGCTGCTTGGGTTTGGAGAAAATACATACAGTGATGGATGCATCATGGACAGGGAGAAGAATGTTACTTTTTGGCGCGTTGGTTTGTTGGTTGGCTTGCCGTGATTGCTTGCGTGATACAGTGCTTGATGGACATACATGTTTTCCTGTTTGTGTGCTTGGTGGATGGATGGATGGATGGATGGATGGATGGATCTGAAACTTGGTTTTTTTGTGCTTGTCCTCACTCCGTTCCACCGGCCTCCTTAGCGCCGCGGCACGTGGCTCAGACATCAGCTAGATTCATCTCACATTCCATCCGTACAAGATCTCGTCCAACCCTATTCTACATGTAGACACAGGTCAGAAAAGACACATTCGCTCCCCTACGCTGCTTTTCTGTGGTCTGTGGTTATGGCGGGCACGCTGTATCACTGGCCCTTGCGCTTGCGACCTCGCGGCCTCAGCGTCGGGATGTTCTGCATGCTAGCTGTGGGATCGTTCTGCAACGCCTTGATGAAGAGCACGTGCTCGCAGTCAGCGTGCAGCAAGAATTCCCGGCAGGTGCACAGCTTGCCAGGGACCGCTTTCTTCAGCTTGCGGTGGCTGCGGGGCCATGACACTTGGACCAAGTGCCCCTCCAAGACTGCGCAATACCTGTGCATGTATTTCTGCAACGCTCCCAATTCTAGCCGCCCCTCCCTGACAATACCTCCCTTCGCCAGCCACTTCTCTAACTGCGTGCCCTCTGCCGCGATGAGGTTGGCAACTGTCTCCGCCACATCGGGCAGCACAATCGCTTCCGCTGCTGTGACTTTGTCGTGGGCTCTGCTTTGCAGCACCCAGAACGTGGTCATCCCTTCCATCCCAGCACCCTCTGTGTCACCTGTGCGGATGTACACTTCGCGGTAGTTGCGGTTCCCACAAAACCGCTTTTCACGGTGTTCCCAGAAATCCCTAGCTGGGGATCTACCCGCCGAGCGTAGACTTTGGCTATTGAACAGTGCATCTGCCGAGCGTGCGGGCCATGTCACGAACTTCTTCTCTTCGTCCCACGCAAATCGTGCTGCCCAATCCTTTTGGAAAAGGTCTTGCATGCTGCCAAATATGTCTGCTGGCGATGTCCTTGCTTTGGCTTTGATAGTGCCTTGCCAGTAGGAGTGAAATGATTCCAGCGGCTGTGTTCCAGAGCTGCTGCCTGGATACGTTCCCAGAATTCCGCCCCAGAAGCCGCCAAACCACAAGCTGTCAGCGCCCCAAAGTGTCGCATTGCAGCGAAAGCCTTTCTGCAGGCTCTCGGTGGGCACCTGCTGAAAGTAGGTCCGCTGCAAGTACTCTGCGGCCGCTGCGCTTTTCTCCCGCAGCCACGGAAAAGCCAGCTGCCAAATGGCATCGAACATTTGCACCGTCGGAACCTCCCGGCTGATTTGGATAACCCTCTCCAGTTGGCTGAAGTCTTCCTCCTCTTTCGCCGCCATGGTGCTTGCCCTCGCTGGACTTGGCGACGCGCGCTTCTTTGCTTTGTCTTTGCTGGTCCTGCGGAAGCGCACGTGCTACAAGAATCTCTGCGCTTTGCTTCGCGTTTTTTTTTTCGTCCCTACAAAACACCCTGACCCGTACGGTTTCCAAGTGCCCTCTTTACCTTCGCCTGCAGCCCTGACCTCGGCCTCTGTGTTTTCGTCGGCAAATACTTCTGGAGAACTTTGTAGGAGGCCCGGCGCATATGCACATAGTCGTCACATGGGCGGGCATACGGAAAGACTTTGCGCCGGGACGCTTCGATCCCCTTGGCGCAGTCCTTGTGCACTTGCCAAACTTGCGCGCGTAGATCTAGGCCGCAATATCGCTCTGCAAGGTTGCATGCCTCCGTGAAGATCTGCGTCATATTAGCCTCTGACTCCGAATTCACCAACGCTTGGATGAAGGGTTCTTGTGTGGCAGTGTGCGTGTCAATAGACTTTGTGTGCTTGGTCCCTGCCCAGGTTTTGCTCGGCGTCGCGCTGCTCACCAAAAATGAGACTGTCACGATCCCATATTCATTGGCCACGATTTTCTGCTTGGCGTCCACGGCCAGCTTCACCACCTTCCCTTGCAGACAGGCAGCGCGTCGCAGCATGCCCGGGCAAGTCCACACGACGCAGATCCTGTCCACCTCCAAGGTTGGACATGGTAGAACCACTAGTCGCCATGGGTTCCACGTTGCCCATGCCTCCATGCTCTCGCACATGTAGTCCATGGCCGCGTTGCGCACCTGGCTCAAGGTTAGGTTGCCCTTGCCGCTCTGGGGAGGGCCCGTGCGATTGAAACGCACCACAAAGTTGTGCAGCTGCGTGTTGGTACAGCGCACTTGCAGCTGGTGTGCCTGCAGCGCGTCCCGCACATCTTTGGACGTAACCCTGGGCCGCTTTGCATCCAGCCCGCTCAATGCCCATGCCTCTGCGCATGTCCATAGTCTCCCACCGCTTGGCGGCTGTAATTTTCCATGGCAACCTTTCTCCTCTATGCAAAGAAGGGGGCCTTTCTCAGATAACATACACTTGCTTTCACTTGTTTCGTGCATCCACTACAAGCGCTCTTGTTGCAAATCCCTAGCGCGCTTTTGCCCTCCCTCTTCAAGTTCTTCTCATGGAAGGTGTACATGCCTGGGTCTCCTCGCTCCCCCAGCACGCGTTCGGCGGCTTGCCACAAGCTTGTGTAGGTTGCCACATCCTCCACTGGCTCGCCATGGAAAACCACGCTCCACGGCTCTCTTTCGCTCACACGGCTCGCCTCCACAGCGTCTGGGCTAGCCTCTTCCGCCTCTCCTCGGCTGCTTGCAGGCAAGGCCTTCGCCTCGTTCCTGGCAACAGTGACACAAGGACAAAATGTATCAGGACCGATCAGCTGGTCACCTCACCGTCACACACCTGTTCGGCTCCGAGCCCCGCTGGTTCCCTATACACCGTGCGCGCCTCGACAGCCCACGCTCGCGGCATTGGATCGGGCCAGATCCTGTCTTGTCTCCTCCTGCGCTGTCAGGCGGCCGGCTCTTCGCAGTCGTCTTGCTCGTCCTGCAAGCCACACGACGCAAAACGCAAACATATGACTTTGCTCTCACAACGGCGGCACGGCCCCGCCAGCATTCTCGTCCTAGGTCCTATAGGCCCCCCAACCCATATTCTCCGCGCCCCTGCGTGCCTGGGCCGCGGGGGCTCCGTCGTCGCCGCGTGCCGCGGCGGTCCAAATGACCAACTTGGAACGCCCATATCCTTCAGAGCCTCTTTGGCTTCCTGGGACAATGCCGTGAAAGCACCCTTGACAAAGACACGCAGCAGCTGCTCCTGCGTGAGGCGCTGTTCGCGGATCTCTCCAAGACCCCGCTCCACCAGCAAGGCCATCACTTCCTCATATGCCGCAGCTCCCCACATCGGGCCCGGCAGGTTCCGGAACGGTGGCCCACAGCGCCGCGTCCACTCTGCACACCACCCCGAACCCACCAAGGTGCGAAGAACCTCTGCCATCGCTTCCACACCCTGTCGTCGAGCGACGTACCGCGTGGAGAAGTCTGCTTCTTATCCCTCTATTTTCACGTCTGTGCTCATTTCTCCTCCCTATAGGCTCGGTGCAGTTCTGCGCTCTCTCTCTCTCTCGCTCTATTATATATATACATATATATGTCTATATATATATATGTATAGATAAGCCATTTACCTCTGCCTCTGCTGCAGGTTGTTTGGGCGCTCTCCGCGTGAGTCGGCCATGCTTGCGCATATCTACCTCCAAGACGGCCAAGCCATAGAGGAACCTTTCCTGAAAGCGCAGAGTCCCCATCTTCAAGGCCTCTGCGCTGAGCTGCCCGCTCCACGCCGGCAAACTCGCTTGGATCCTCGTTGCTTGCTGCCCCAGCCAGCCCGTGCTCCACGGCCCCACAAACGCAACCACACACACACACATATCACACACGCGCGCGCGCGCCGTTCGGGTGCAGCCAAGGCGCCCACAGGCCACCGGCCACAGCCCCTCCAAGAGAGTTCCGAATAAGGCCACAGCGCTGACCCAATAGGGTGCTTTGTGCAGTCCACTCACCAGGGTTTTGCTGAAGAATGTGCGTTTGGTGACATCTCGGCACGCCAACCGATATGCATGGAAGACCTCTTTCAAGGCAGGCGTCAACTTCCATTCTCTTGCCGGCGCATCTGTTGCCAGCGGCGCCTTCCCGCCAATGGATTTCAACACCACCTCAAAGATTCGGCGCAAGATGGGCATCACCACTTGCTTCTCAAACGCTTGCAAGCGTGGAGGGCCCGGGTCCCGCAGGGCTCCGAAGGAGAACATGCACCGCTGTGGCAAACCGATCTGGCTCCGAACTTCGCTGGCCACCCACCAATTGTGCCACACGGACAGCTGCTGCAGTAAGGCAATCGTGACATTGGTCTTTTGCGGCGGTATCGCCTTCATCGGCACTACTCGGTCCTCTGCAGAATCCTTTCTGGCCTTCCGGTCTATCGCTGTCTCCCATGGGACCTCACCACCTGTCGCGCTGTCCAAGAACCTGGCCAAGTTGATGTGCGTTGCCTGGTTCCAAGTCCCGTTCTGCGGAAAGGCTGGGCACAGCAGTGGCCCCCCCTCCCCAGCGACCAGCGTTGCATATCCATCCGTCACCTTCAGCTTGTCGATGGCTGCGCAATGGGTCCCGGGGCCTAGCAAATGGAATTTGTCCCATCCACACCCAGCAGCCAAGTGCGGGTTCTCTTCTAACACAGCGCGGAGGCACTCTAGCATCGGGTCTACTGCTGGGCTTTTTCCGCTCCCTGGGCGAGCAGTTCCAATTGTCCAATATCTGCTGCGGCAGGGGTACCCCGCAACGTCGACCGCTATCTCTTTATGCAGCAATCCCATGAGCAACGCACAGAATGCATCATAGTAGAACACGGTCGGCATGCCAGTGCTGCGACTCCACGCCTCCATGAGCACCAACACGGGGTAGAAGCTTGTGCGCCACAAGGGATATTGCAACTCCACGGCTTGCTTGCCACCGAACTCATCGTTTTCCCAGCAGGCTACCAAGGCAGGCAACTGCTCCTTTGCATCTCCTTGCCCCATTGCCAAAATCTCTGCCTCAGCCGCCAGCGCTCCGACCCCGTGCCCCCTTTCCACCCTCGACCGCTTTTCAAACCGACCGTCTCCCCGAACCACAACTAAATTCCATACAGCTAACTAACCCCTTGCCGCTTTGTACCTTATATACCCCCCGGACACTGAGGCTTGAACACTGTACGGCGGCAAGGTTGCCAAGAAAGCCGCAACATCCTCACCACTCTCAAACTTTCCGAGCACGGCAGCCACATCTCTCTCAAATTCCCACGTGCCGTCCTCTGATTCTCCAAAGGACAGGGTTTCCATGTGGGGGCCATGCTGCCGAGGCGATGCCCGCGCCATGCCTTCTCCTGGCAAAGCCTGGTTTTGGGCACCTGTGTCCTGCACAGACGGAGGGGCTTCTCTTTCGGCAATGCTCGCTGCAGCTATGTCTTCTTCTTCTTCTTCTTCCACTTGCACATCCCGACCTGTCGACGTAGCTGCGTCTGGTCTCTCTGTTGTTGCGGAGAGCACGGGCTTCTCGTACACGGCAAGCACAACATTCCTGGCCACACTCTTCGGCATGGACGCCTTCTGTGTGACCACCGCATCGTCGCATCGGAGCCACACAGCGCCATGTCTGACCCAAGTCACAAAATGCCCTTGCTCTGTATCCCCATGCGCTGCCGGGATGTGCTCCACTAAAGCCACAAAGTCGTATTCACTTCCAGTGACACTGACGGAGCCTGCAGCTTCTATAGCGTGCTCATTCCGCACTTGCCGCCTTGTGTGCGGATCCACGTGGCTGTTGCGAGGAAAGCTCACGACAAGCACCTCTGGTGTAGCCAATGGCATGGCTTGTTGCAGCACTCTCTTCTGCTGCCCGCAGGCCCCACAGCGCAAGCCCTCCGCAAGCCACGCTTCTTTAAACGTGTGCAGAATGAGCTCTTGCACTGTGGCCTCCGGCGTGCCCTCATTTTCCACCAGCGTCACCGGCCAGGCCTCCACTTGTTCCGTCCCCAACCAAACATTGTAACTTCTACAGCTGGTGACCCCGCACTGGTGACGCTGCTGTCGCAGCACATCCATTCTGAAGCACCCTGGCATTGCATCTTCCACCTGCAGGTCTGGCCACGCTGCCACGTCCCATGTCCCCCCAACGAAAATAGAATAGACACGTACTCTACCGCAGGTCTGGCCGGCCCTTCGGTTCGCTGCCGCGTCCGATGTCCCCCCCACCAAAATGGAATACACATACTCTATACCGCCTACCCTGCTTCCCTCGGTTGCCGCGCCTCGCGACACAACGGCATGGCAAAGTCCACGACGTTCTCTTGGTCGCCCAGGCGCAGGCGAGCGGCTTGGAGAAAAGGTTGCCACATGTTCATTGTCTCCTGGTCTGCTTGCCCCAACTGCCGCAACTCATTTGTCTGCCACAGCAGGCAAGCTCGGCAGTCTGGTGGACACTTTTTTTCTGCCACGTGGCTTTGGAGCCTCAAGCACAGGCGCTTCGAATGAAACAGTGCTTGCAGACAGCTGTTCATGTAGCACGTGTTGCCCACGTTCGACAGTCCCGCTCCTTCCACGCACACCTCCTCCCCGCATTTCGACTGCTTCCTTTTCACCTTCCTGCCCACTTCCCCTCGCTGTGGCAAAGCATACCGAATGCGAGCCCACCCAATGCAACCCAACTTCTTCTGGAAGACCACTGGCTCACTCAAAGTCTGCACCTGCGCAAGCCACAACGCGTAGGTGCGCCTATAAGGCAGGCGTTCCTCTTGAATCTGGTGTTCTCCTCGGAGCGCGTGGAACTCCTCCAAATTCACCTCCACACACTGCCTAATCACTGCACTGCCATACACTTTCTTCCCGTGTGCTAGCCATACATGGCCCAGCTTTGCCTTGCGACCTCGCACCTCCACTGTTTTGTCGCCCGACAAGATCAGCTTCAACCACTCCTCCCTCAGTATCATGGCACGTTCCCCTTCAAGCGGCGCCCGTTCAGCCCCGCCGCCCCCACCACACCTACCTGGGCCTCGCGCACTCCTTTGCCCTGTCTGCGCATGCCCCCACACCACCGCCCCCATGGCCACACCCCTAGCAAGCACCCGCCACACCGACGCAAGGAGCTGCAACCAGCCCATCCCTGTTGGTAGGAGCAATACGACCACGCCCACCACGCACAGCATGCCCCCCCTCCCACACAGCAGCCCCGCACGTTCTCCCCGCTGCCTCTGCGCATACTTTCTGCCTTGTACCTTCACTCCCTTCTTTTGCGGCGGGCGCTGGCGTCCACCGAGGCCACACAGAACGCCGATCGCAAATGCCACCCACCACCACACCGCCATGTTCGTCGTCCGGGCCCCGTCTGTCTCCTGGTCTCCCACCCTGCGCTGTTTTGGTTTGTGTATATATATATTCTTTCAGCATATATTCGGTAACAACTCTAGTTTATACTATACTAAACCTCCTGGTCCTGCTTCTCGTGTTTCCGTCAGCACTGGCTTTACTTCTACCATGTCGGCTATGTCCTGCACAACCTCTCTTCGAGCCAACACTTCCTATCGCTGCTCCCTGCTCCGCATCAGTCCTGGGTCCGTACAACGGTCTCCAACCATGTGCTGCAGTATTGCCACCCCCCGCACGCCTGCTCGAAGTCCACTCCCACATCGACACCTCAGTTGTGCACCGCTGGAGCCTCTGCCTGTATGGGCCCACTTGTACCCAGAAGCTGTTGACTGGCCCGTTCTGGACCTCTGGGACGTTTTGAATCCCATCTTAGGTTTTTCGTTTCTTTATACCATCTTCGGGGATCCTTCCATCACCACCGGCGCACTCCAAGCTTTCGACCTCCGCGTCTGTAACCGGCTCCGCTTCCACGTCCGGTTCCAGCACATTCCGGCCTCATGTTGCGGCGGCGTCCACGCGGTTTTGCTTGCTTGGTTGTAGGTTGCTGGCGGGTTTCTTGGTTTGGCCGCGTTGTTGTAGTTGGTTGCCACTGTGTTGGTGGATGCATGGATGCATGGGTACATGGACGCATGGAAGGATGGATGG